AAATTTTGTTCCCACCTATTTCTTAATCCTATCCTACTGATGGTAAACGCAGAAGAGGAACTTTTTTGATGGTAATAAGAGATCATTGCTTTATAGAACAGGTATTTGTCCTCTAAGATCTTACTCAGCTAATGGCATGGGTCACTGCTTTTTCAGTTGTCATGGTGGGTACACAGAGATGTTTGCATATTTCATCTCTCCAAAGGAAATTACAAAGAAAAACAGTTAATTCTTGATGATGTGATCATCAGGTTGTTTTACCTTGGCTATCAGTGAAGGGTCTTTACGTTCCTTCTCATGTGAAATAGTGTTAGTCTGTCCGTAAGCATATTAGAAAATGTGCAGAAGAATATCCAAAGTTTTATTTTTTTCATAGCTACTTTAAACAGTAGGGGGGGGTCACATCCATTTTTAAAATCTGGGGATTCCCGTTATTAACTGCAGCTCACCTACAAACATGCAGACTTTCGTCTTCTTAGTTTGCATGGCAACTGGTTACATTTAAAAAAATATCATCATCATTGTATGTAAAGCAGCAGTTACTCATGATGATGATGATAAGAAACGTTCCTTTCTTAAATTCTTGTGTTTGGCTCAGGAATAAAATACTTGATATTTTATTGCATGTTGGTATTGTGGACTAATGAAGAAAGTCCTCCCGAAACATTACAAACTGTCCCTTTCAGCCCTTTCCATGTTGTTGGGAACTCCTATTAACCTGTGGTTTCTTTAAAAATAAATAAATAAATGGTAGTATCAAAGCCAAAAAAGCAAGGAATTTTTTATTTTCAAAAAGGACTTCTTAAATCAACCTTCAGCTAGTATAATAATAATCATATTTTTTCTGCTATGTGATATTACACTCTTCATCTTTCTCATTCATTTTGCATGCATCTACTCACTTCTGTACAGCCACAGTAGAGGCAATTGAGGCTGAAAAAGGTATGGTCTCAGTGTCTTTGCTACTGGCAGGGATTGGGGTCTGGGAGGGATTTAAAAGTCTGTTCTGCTCTTTCAACTTGCACAACCAGAGATGAATCAATACACTGATTCATCTGCTGTTATTTGTAGCATTTTGTCTTGTCTTGTCTTCATGATTGACTTGCCTTTCGTTTTTGGGGTGATTTGCTTTTTCTGACTGTGGAATAGGGATGTGTTTTCTTTCGTTAGCATAATAGCATGCTATGTTTATGTCCCTTCTTTTAGTTGACATACTTCCTCTGGTGATAATGGATTTTAAATGTCTCCAATCCAGCAGGCCACTTTTAAGTATATGCATGGCTTGAACACTCAAATTGAGCTTTTCATATTTGCTAGCTCCCCCACCCCTGCACCCAATATTTTGAATGTGACTTCTCAACAATACATCATAGCCATGAGTTTCAAAAGTAGTTTCTGGTGCCATACAATAATGCAGCCCTCCTCTCTTCCACTGTGCGCAGATAGCTTCCCATATGGTTTTCTGGATTGAAGTCTGTGTCTTTTCGTTTCTTTCTCATAACCCATCTGGTAGTGCAAGATTTAGTTTTATAAAGGTGTTTTTATAATGTATAGTATTCATTTGTGAACACTGAGTGCCAGGAAGCTGGCAAAGTATAAAATGTTAACTTTGGATGAGTGCCGAATAATAATTTAGACATGGCCAAGGGCTTGCCTTATTTCCAGAGAAGCATCTTATTTTGGAACAGCAACCTTTCATGCCATGTCACTGCTTTGGCAACTCTGTTCAGTTGCTTGGGTGGTGTGGATAAAGTTTCCTGAAGTCTTTTTTGGGTCCTAGCCTTAATAGCCACTATCTCCATGATGACTTTTATATCCCGTCTTTGTCAGGCCATTGCTTTCCTATAAGCCACAAAGTATGTATATGTGCACAAATGAGCTACCAGTACCAAGCAAATCTGTGGTCTAATCACGTTTGTAGACTAATCTGTAAGGCTGGTGCTTTTTAAATGTGTGCCAAGTCTGAAGACTTGGACTATACTTCAAAACTGAAAAATGGTCTTATTATCAGTGTTCAAAATAAAATGGGCTCCTGCCTGATGTGTAAGGTGATCTGTTGAAGTCTAGGTATTGTCCTTGTTTTAAGGTGGCTTCCAAGGCTGTTGTGGTTATTCTCACATGTTTAGCCTAGGTATTCACAGTCATATCTTGCGTTGCTGCCAACTTTAGTTTTTGTGTTCTCATAAGTGATGTTTGGAATGACTAGCGGCCTTAAGCAAAAATTGGTATGCTATAGTGAAGAAGGGGACGCAGGTGGCGCTGTGGGTAAAAGCCTCAGTGCCTAGGGCTTGCTGATCGAAAGGTCAGCGGTTCGAATCCCCGCGGCGGGGTGCGCTCCCGTTGCTCGGTCCCAGCGCCTGCCAACCTAGCAGTTCGAAAGCACCCCCGGGTGCAAGTAGATAAATAGGGACCGCTTACTGGCGGGAAGGTAAACGGCGTTTCCGTGTGCTGCGCTGGCTCGCCAGATGCAGCTTGTCACGCTGGCCACGTGACCCGGAAGTGTCTCCGGACAGCGCTGGCCCCCGGCCTCTTAAGTGAGATGGGCGCACAACCCTAGAGTCTGTCAAGACTGGCCCGTACGGGCAGGGGTACCTTTACCTTAGTGAAGAAAAGTCAGAGAGGCTGTACAACTCTGCTCACTTTTTACAAGAGAAGTGTAAATACATAAAATCATATTTAATCTAACTTACTGCTTTTGTGGGTGTCTCCCCCCTTTTTTTTAACATTTTGATATTATTTCTTAGAAGTTACTAAGAATACGCAGAGCTTTTTCCCATTACTGACATGTCTAATTTGCATTTTGTTAAGCAATACGAGGATTCTCTCCACAACATAAAATCTGCAGTTTTGAAGAGGCAAAAGGACTGGATAGGATCAATGAGCGAATGCCGCCAAGGAAAGATGCTCTTCTTCAGGGTGGCATTAATTCTGTGAATGCAACAAATGCCAACGGAAACAATGGCGCTGGCAACAACAATGCACAGTGACCATCGCATCTGCTTACTTACGTAATAATTGGTTGAGGACTGCTTCTTGAAAAGACAGTAGCCAAAACATCCCAGGGAGATGCAGTCCCCACGCTTTACCCGGAGCGAAATCACAACTTGATCTTACAGAAGAGAAGCCATGATGCTTTGGAAATTACAGCCACTCTTCTAAAAGTGACAACATGAATATTAACAGTGCATATTTGGAACTCACTTGTGGAGAGAGATCCAGGGACAAGCTTCTGCTGTTATCACTATAGACTTAGCATGTTACTTTTTTATCATTGTCAACACTTTTTATGTTTACAGAATGGGATTGTAGAGCTAGGTGGTGGGTTTGTGAGGTGGTTTTCTTTTGTTTTTAAATCGGATGTTCTAATGCATCCGTATTTATTTAATGGTCTTATGAACTGTCTTTAAATGATAGTTTTACAGTGGTCTTAAAATATAAATCTGAGGCTGCAGACATGTCTGTGTTTTAAATAAGTGAGGAAGAAATGCCAAAAATCTTAGTAATTATGTAAATTTCTGGTCTTGGGTATACTCCTGTTGCTAATTCTGTATAATGTTCAACATATTATTTTTAGTTAAAACTTATCAGAAGATTTCTATATAAAAATGTTTATTACTTGAACCATAGCTTTTGAAAAATATTTTAATTTAGAAACTGTTTTGCCCAACTTTTTGAGACTTTCCCCACACTTGAATGTTAAAAGAACTATTAACAGTATAAAAAAAGAAGTTTAAAATTAAGGTACTTTGTACATTACGTTTCAAGTAAATTTGATTCATATCAGATCTGTAAAACTTGGCTTTGTATTTTCTGTATGCATGTTTTAATTTTGCAGATATTTAATATATAGACCTAGGGTGTACAGGAGAAAACATCCTATAGGTTATGCAGCACAGCTGTTATGGGTATTTTTAGTTTATTGTATTAAAGTTGCTTAAATAGTTAATAATTGTTGGGCTGAGTGGCTGCAAGTGTGTTCTTTTAATTCTGTTTGGTTGTTTTTGTTTTGAACTTTTGGCCATACAATGCATAATTACTCTGGACATTATGGTGTTAGTGAAGATATAAAATCAAGATGCATGTTATGTTTTTGATAGCTGGACTGTTTGGTTAAAATAAAACCAAACCATGTGTTGATCTAACGAATGATGAACTGTAGTTAAATTCTCCCAACATTTTGTTACCTACCTTTCTTATTCTGTGGGAAGCTGTTGGAATCTTACGGCAATGGATTTCACCTGCAGTGTATTTGCCACAAAGTGGAACTTGTGTGTGGCCCTAAGTTGGCTATTTGATGCATGTTTTAAACCATTCAAGTATTTTATAATAAGAAGCGCACAATAAAGTTTGTGCATGGGCCTCAGCTCGGATTGGTTTGCTTCTGTTTTTGTTTGCGTAATGAGGAACACAACACAATCAACCATTTTAGTTGACCTCCTGGGGGCAAATATCTGGAATGGGGAGGTTCCCAGCACATTTTAGAATCTTTGAAGTCCCCGAGTTAAGGAAGCTTCCCTATGTCAGAAGTTTGCTCCAACTTGAGGAAGGTGACGGGCAGAGCTGGTGTGCTCATTCCTATAATCCTTCCTCATATAGTTACTTGGATATAGAGCAGTGCTGTATTTAATGAGACTATTATATGGTGGGTGATTAGATCTCAAGCACAGCTAACTAAAATGGCAAAGGAACATTTCATTTGAAAGTCAGTGATGGTTTTGCATGTATGGGCAACGTAGAGTTAGCAGCTCTTTATTAATGATGTGTGTAATTTGGGGTGGGGTGTTGTTTATTTTATTGATTTTTTTAAAAAAAATATTGAAAAGTAACAGCCATATTTGTGCCCAGCGTTCCCAGCCTCCTCCATCCCTATCACAGGTGACCTCCCATGACCTATGTCACAAGGTGGTTGTGAGGTTAAATGGGGAGAGAGAGAACCATGTATGCCACCGTGAGGACCTTAGTGGAAAAGTGGAATATAAATGAAAGAAAGAAAGAAAGAAAGAAAGAAAGAAAGAAAGAAAGAAAGAAAGAGAAAGGTAAGCCCGCAGGTACAATACAAAAGCCGCAAAGAACGTCCACTTTCCAGTGTCTCATGTATACAATTATAAATGTGTATGAAATAGTGGAACCTCTGTTGCCAAATGTAATCAGTTCTGGAAGACCGTTCGACTTCCGAAATGTTCGACAACCGAGGCTCAATCCCATTGAGAAAACCGAGAAATGTGCCCCAGAAGCCATTCAGCTTCTGATGCACTCAAAAACCGAGGTTCCACTGTATATTGGGGGGGGGGGGTTGTCATCGCCTCCTACATCAATTAGAACGTGCAACAAGTATATGCTATTTAACACCAATGCTGCTCCACAATAAAGGGTGGGGGAAGGGTGAAGTGGGTGAGTCCTCGGAATGCATGTACATAATGTGGGACAATACTGACTTCCCCCCCCTTTCCCCACAGGTTTATCTGAAGCTTCCACCTGTCCCAATCTGCTATGCCATTCACTAAAGAGGTGAGAAACAGCAATGTCTCTTAACTTGTGAGGTGGGTGGTTGGAGAGATTAAATGGTTAAATATCTGAAATGTTTAACTGCAAGAAAATGCAGTTCCACTCAGTTGCATTTGTTGCGAATTGGCTGAGTGACTTGGCCACAGACTTATTCCATATTAATTTTATACCTTGAGATGTCCATCAAATGACTTATTTACGTGCATTACTTGAGGCACAGCAGCTGTCCCAGAAGTAAGATAAAAAACTGCACACAGTGCAGTTTTGTTTTCTTGGCGTAAAATACTGGTTCCTTTTAATGTTTGTGTCCTGGTGTCTTGAGGATGCCAGAGCAATATAAACTAACAAGGGGCAGCCCTGCCACATTCTTTTAGCATCTTCACGTCCTTCTACAGCCCTGAACACAGACATAATTATTTCCAAATGCTTGTTAAGCATCTTCTCAATTTAGAACTCATTCCAACTGCTGGGAAGTACTATTAGTGGTATAAGCCTGATGGATCTGTCCAGATTTCACCCTCCCGGCATGGAAGGGATCTCACTGGTAGAAGGGAGGTGACTTGCCTTGTTTCCAGTTCCCTCTGCAGCAACTAATCCAGAAGGTGTCTCCGTCTTTCAGAGTAGGTTTTTGGAGGCTGTCTATGTCTTTCAGAGTAGGTTTTTGGAGGCTGCAGGGGAAGGGGAAACTGGCAAATGCCACCACTGTACTGCATTGTGTTCTGGGTAGTTCCCACCGGCAGGAGCAAAGTGTGGAACCAAGCCTACTCTTAAAACCTCACATATTATTAAACTTGAAGCAGGCAAAGTTTTGACTTCCTTAGTCTCTGCCCCTGCTAATGCAACTATTTCTGTCTGCTTACTGTTGTCTTGCTTTTTTCATCTCGTTCAAACGTACATGGAGTTAAATATTACTAGCCTCTTAACTGTGAAGAACACTGGGTCAACATGGCCTGGGCTGCTGCTCCACAAGCATCTCCTTCACTGAGGTCCTCTCTCAGCAAAGACAACTGGTTTAGTTTTGGGTTATAAAGTTCTACTGTTAAAAGTAATATGAGAGTCTGTGCTCGGGTTCCTCACTGCCATAACTGGACTGAGTCCTAGATATACTGGAAGAATGTAACAGTTGTTGGATAGTCTAAATGTTCAACTTTTAAAGCTGTCATTAGCACTGTGTGTTAGTGGAATAGGTGTTTGTTAATTCAATGCTCATTAATACATTGTGTCAAGGGCTTTACATGTTCACTCAAGCTACAAAATCCTGGGAAATGACCCAGCTTTGTGATTAGTTTCAACTTCCTTTGAGCTGCATGGCTGTCAGAGGCAGAATGTTAGATCCAAGTCCCAGATTTGTCTGTTCACGTTACAGGGGTACGCTAGTAGTACAGCTTAAAAATGTATGAGAATAGGAATTGGAAGGTAGGTTGAGGCTTCAACCCTGAGATGTCATCAGTCTGCCAGACAAAATCACTAGTGTCTGTTTCAGCTCAGATTAGGAAACACTTAGTACATATTATACAGGTGAGTCTTTTTTGTATTTAATCACATTGTTAGTACATGTGTGATCTTCACTGTTTTGTTGTTTCTTCAGCTTGCAAGCCTCCTTGTGTATAGTAATATAGAGAGGCAGTATACAAATGAACAGTGAAATGAAATGAAAGATATCATGCCACTGAACTTTCCTCATATAATCAGGATGCGTAAACCTGAGTGCTGGAGAGGTCAAAAGTTTTGTAATAAAATTCCTAAATTTGGGCATACAGGGATCTTCCTCCGTAGATAGTGGTGGTATATATTACTTCACTTCAATATGTGCTAAACTAGAGTTTTTCTGCTTGGGGCAGAATAACCAAGAGGACTCCCAAAGTCTGTCCTGCTGGCACCACTGTGCTTGAATAGTGAAAATGTTTCTATGACTAGCAAGTAACAGGGACTTTGACAGCCCAGTTAGATGCCTCACTCAAACACACAGTAGCAATATGGGATCAGACTCTGGAGAAATGGTTCTTGAGTAACACTACTACCATATGAACAGGGTTTTGGTCACTTCATACAGTGGCTGAAGATCTAGTTAAATCATAATCCTTTTAATTGATTGCTGTTCCATTTTATCAGTAGCTAGTATTTGAATACTTTGAAAACTGGAAGGGTGAAGGATAAAGCCCTGGCTTATGCACTTCAGGTTTCTAAATGAGACTGCAACAATGTGTTGCAGTGCAAAGAGCTGCAGGTTTCAGCTCTTAGTTGTTTTAAATTGTTTTTATTAAAGATTTTCTTGGGTTACAAAAGTACATACATCTCTGTTTTTGCATCATACAGTCCTTTCAACAGATCAGTTCTATTCGATGTTAGACGTTGATGTTGTATACAGTATAAGGTTGTGGAAGAGAGGTGGGGCGTAGTAAACTTGCATTTTTACAGTGTATGTGCAAGGTTTTTGTGTCAGAGTCACATGCTTAGGTTCCCTTTCTATTCATTCATTCGTGTTCAGGGGGGCTACAGTAAGTTGCTACAGTAAGTTTTGTTTGTGTATGAAGGGTTGTTGGGTCAAGTTAGCCATGTCGATTCGCATCCTGTCGCTGGGTTCTTGTTGGGCTGTGTGTGTAAAGGGGAACCACACTGGGGTGAAGGCATCCTTGTTTATTTGTCCCTGTGCTAGTTTTGGTTTGTTGGTTAGCTTTTCTAGTAAGGCTGTTTCCCATACAGTTTGGTACCAGTGCTCCACGTTCACTCCTAACAGCTCCCTCCAGTGTTGATGTTCTTGACTGCTGAGAGCAGGTGGGTTATAAGCTCTTTGTAGTGTGAGTGATTGTCTTGCAAAATGTTCCGACGGGGATAATTCTGGCATGGCTTCTAGTACTGTTTTGTTATTTTGCATACTTATTGAAGGTTTCAGCAAGACAGCCATGCATTATTCCAAGATACTTTATTATAGCCTTTTCTCCCCACCCCGGCATGTTCTGAACTGCTACAAACTTTGTACATATAGGAAAAATTTCCTAAGTAGAAAGGACTCTTTCTTGTATGTGTGAAATGCTCACAAGAATAAGGGGTGGTTGTATTCTACTAATGTGGTTCATTAAGTCTACTCTGAGTAATTTAGCTACAATCCAAGGTTATTTAATATTTGTAAATAAGAGATACTGATTTATATTAATGTATTGAGTATAACCACGGTAACAAGAAAAAGACACTTCACTACAACTCAAGACAGCAGGTGTCTTATTTTATATTGTAAAGTACATGATGTGCGAAATTAAGGCAATTATATGTGCAAAATAAACCATCCATTAGAAGCATACTTGTTTACATTGTCTAGGATAACTTATGCTCTTATATGCAATGATAGTCATTTGCCCAAGCAGCTCATTTTCCATTTTCTTTGTTTCAGCGTGGTCTATTGACCAACAAGGGCCAAGAGCAGACGCCTGTAATCTCCACTTGTGTCACTTTGTATCATTGTGCCCAAAGTCTTCTGATACATCTGGGTGAACATCTGTTTGATTTGTGCAAGATCAATCTGCGCCAAAAGAAACAAAGCAGGCAACTGAGAGAAGACACAACTTAATTCATGAATCCCATTAAACTCAACAGGCAGGTCTAGTGCCACTGAAATTCCAGGTGGATTGTGCCCCATTCACCCACACCGGGCATTAAAACTTCAGTGCCAGTTTGATGATGAGGAAGAATTAATTTGACACCGGAAACACAGTCTGCAACATGTTACAAAGCTACTCAAGACATAGGTTTGCCTAGCGATCCAGCCTCTATTATTGCTCTCTGTGAACAAGTAAGTAATGCATATATGCTACTCTCTGGTACAGTGGATGATGTGAAATGCAACCTTCCACATCAGGGGAGAAGTTCATGTTATTTGTATGCCACCTTTCCTGAAGGCATGGTTTTCACTATGGAAAGATAGCATGCAAATGATAACTAGGGCTGGGCAGTGTTACCATAAGACGCACCTAGTTTGGGGGGGGGGGGAGAGAAAAAAAATATTTTGAATCCCAGAAGCCAGAACAGCAAGAGGGATCTGGCTTCTGGGATAACCGCGCCAAGCCTCTTCAGGGCAGCGGGATGAAGGCTCCCCCTGCCCAAAGAGGCTGTGTGCGGCTAAGGCAGAAGCCAGGGCAGCCGCATGGCTGAAGGGGCCCTGGGCAGTTCTCCCTCTCTGCGCAGAGAGGGAGAACTGCGCAGCGCCCCTTCAAGCGAAGCTGGAGGAGGAACAGAAGGAGTCCCCTTCTGTTCCTCCTCCGGCTTCCAGGCAGGTGCGTGGCTGAAGCCTTTGGAGCGCAGCGGGAGACTTCTCCGCTGTCCTGGGGCGATCTTAAAATGCTGGCGGGCGGGAGCGAAGCCTCCGATGCCGCCCGCCAGCATTTTAAAAAACCCCGGGACAGCGGAGGGCTTCTCCGCTGTCCGGGGCGATCTTAAAATGCTGGCGGGCGGCATTTTAAAATCGCCCCGGGACAGCGGAGGACTTCTCCGCTGTCTGGGGCGATTTAAAAGCCCCTGGGAAGGCAGGCAGGGGGGACAAAGACTTTTGCCCCCCGCCTGCCTTCAGAAGAGGTCCAGGACCTCTTCTGAAGGTGGGCGGGGGGCGAAAGTCTTTGCTCCCCCCCCCGCCTGCCTTCAAAAGCTGTCCTGGACAGGCTTCGCGGACCTCTCCGCAAGTAGCGGGAGCGCTCCCGCTGCTTGCGGCGAGTTGCCAGCATGCCGAAGCCTGCGCGCGCTGAGATCAGCGCGCCCAGGCTTCGTGGCCCTGCCGCCCGGCTTGGGGGCATCGTTCCAAAGCCGGGCGGCGGTGGGAGGTGTTCCTGCCCCGCCGCCCGGCTTCGGGGCATCGTTCCGAAGCCGGGCGGCGGCGGGAGGTGTTCCCGCCCCGCCGCCCGGCTTCGGAGGAGGTCCGAGGACAGTGGGGAAGACGCACTGCGCTTCCCCACTGTCCCGGAGATTTCCCTATGGGCTGTCGTCTTGCGAAGCAAGCCCATAGGGAAATTCGTTTTGCGAAGCGCCTCCAAAACGGAAAACCCTTTCGTCTAGCGGGTTTTCCGTCTTGCGAGGCGTTCGTCTTGCGGGGCACCACTGTACATGAAACAGTACACTTATTTCATTCTTAAAGTGCATGGCTCCAACCTGTCTTGGCAACTGCAGCTGCCCCCACCTCATGTTCATAGCCAGTCTTTCTACCTGGAAAGCCTCTAAAGCAATGACTCAATAATGAAGACTTGAGGTTGGGGCAACTATCACTGCCAGGAACAATGTGGCACTGAGTCTGCTACCTAAAAGAAGAGTGCTTTCTATCATCTAGATCTGTGCCAGCTCAGGTAACTGGCATCACCACTAATGGCCTTGGATCTATACAATGTGCCACTTGGGTTGTACAAGTTTAATAAAGAAAGCTGCTTATAAAACCAGAAATTTTTCAACTATCAATTTGTCAAAAGTGTTTACAGCTTCTGTTACCTTTCCATTGTGCCTGAACTTCATACAGTAAAAGACCGTGATGGATTTGCGTTTTAATAAAGGAGCCATTTGACCTCTTTGGAAGTATGGCCAGATGGTGTATATAATGAACACAAACAAGATTAAATAACCGGCCTTTAATTACCGTATTTTTCGCTCTATAGGACGCACTTTTTCCCCTCCAAAAATTAAGGAGAAATGTGTGTGTGTGTCCTATAGAGAGAATGCAGGCTGCGTGGCTAAGCCCAAAGCCAGAACAGGGAGACGGAGCGCTCCGTCTCGCTGTTCTAGCTTGCGGACGGCTGTGCAAAGCCTCCGCAGGACAGCGGGGTGCCTTCACCCCGCTGCCCTGCGGACGCTACGAAGGCTGTACGAAGGTGGGGGGAAGGCTGCAACACTTCCCCCCCCCACCAGCCCCACAAGCTCGGGGGGCAGCGGGAAGGCTGCGCGCCGCCTTTGTGCTGCTCCCCGACCTGGTCTTTGGGGCTGGCGGTGGGGGGAAGCGTTGCAGCCTTCCCCCCACCTTCGTACAGCCTTCGTAGCCTCCGCAGCCCCAAAGAGCAGGTCGAAAGGAACCCAAAAAGGCTTCGGTTGAACGCACAGAGGTATTTTTTTCCTGTTCTCCCCCTACTATGGTCCGGTGCGTCCTATAGAGCGAAAAATATGGTACATATTAGGTAAAATTTACAAATAATAAATTCTTACCTCGCTGCGAGTGACTACAATTCGAACCAAGGTAGAGTCATCTGTGCCGGCTCCTTTCATGGAATGATAAAGCCTCTCTGCAAAAAAGGCTGGGCGATTCAGAGCACATTGCACTGCAATAAAACAGTATTAAGATCAACTCAAAGTTGACACTGACAGACAGCTCAAAGCCACAAGATTCTAACAGCATCAACCTGCCAGAATCTTTAATCCAAACTGCATTTTTTGTCATTGCATCCCCCCCCAAGTATATTATAACATAAAGATAATACAAAGACCAACAGTCCAAAAGCATAAAATTATCCAACCCAATACTAATTAAAAGTAACAGTCATGTCCTTACTAGGCAAATTAGAGTTAAATGTTGTTAGACCACCCCTAACTGGTTCAAGGGAGGAGATGGGTAGTGCATCTAGCCCAGTTCCCAGTGAGGGTTTGCTTTAGGGAGTGTGCCTCCTAGTGGAGGGAAAGGATTACTGCACCACCAGCAATCTGAAGCAGTGGTACCTTGGTTCTTGAACAGCTTAGTTGTTGAACAAATTGGCTCCTGAACGCCACTAACCCGGAAGTAAATGTTCCAGTTTGCGACTGTCTTTCGGAAGCCAAACATCCGAAATGGCTTCAGCTTGAGTGCAGGAACCTGCAGCCAATCGGAAGCCGCGCCTTGGTTTTCGAGAGTCGAACGGACTCCCGGAACAGATTAAGTTTGACAACCAAGATACCACTGTACATCACATGTGCAAATTAAGCAACTGACATCAGTCCTCTTATTTTGCATAAATTATTTTACAGGTCTGGGAAGGGCACTGAAGCCCCAGCTGATGGTCATTAATCAGCGAAGTTTCCAGCACCTAATAGTTGTAGGTGCTTGGTGAATAAATTGCCCATAAAAAGGACCTCATTGAACAATGAAATGCAGGGAAAGTCCCTTACCGATAGCCTTCAAACCACGTTCTACATTTCCTGAAAACTCCCGGCCAATGCTGCTTAATAAATCTCGGTTAGCAACCTGCAAAAATATGAGTAGGAAATGTTAATTTTTTAGCCAAAGAACTGATGAAAGCCAAATCCAGTCCTGTCTAGTCCACACAAATGCCCTCCCCTTCTTGTCTACCTGAGAGTAGGCTTCAATTGTGGCTTTCAGCTGGGGAAAGCTTCTAGTTGCCAGGACCATATTGAAGGCAGACTCATCAGTCCCCAGCTTCCCTTCGCCAGCTTGGAAAAGGCGCTGAGCATCTTGTTGAGCCTTTTGGTAATCTACAGTTTGATTCTCGTCCCGATTGCCCTGTAAGAGAGAAAAATATTGATTACTACTATTATACACAGTAAGCCCACAACTTATGCAGGGGTTCCAGGGATCACAGCAGAAATTGTGTATAGTCAGAACTCATTGGGTTCAATGGCAGGTAGGATTGCCAAGTCTTTTTCCCTGGATACCCACCCTCTTTTAATTTACTTTTTTGCCAAGCACACAGGTTAAATGCATGTAAGTTGCAGGCTTACTGTACTATCCCTGCTTGCAAGTTGCCTTCAACTATTTAAAAATGAAGTAAAAGCATGACGATTCCTTTTCTCTTTCATTTAGACATAGCAAATCAAATGATAAAACATCTGGCCTCCATTTATGCTTTACAGTATCCTTGTCTGAACACAGCTATGGTTCCACAAATATGCAAAACAAAATGAGCAAACCTAAGATCAACTGTTCAGTCATCTCATAATTTAAACCGTCTAGAGGACAAGGCAAGATTGTCGTCGTCGCCGCTACCGCCCCCCCGGTTTAATTTATATTTAAAGCCACTGGTAACTGTGACCAGGGAGAAATTAGAAATTAATACTTGCACATTACAGTGGTAGCTAAATTAAGCAGAGCCACGGTATAAGATAAATATTACAAACATGACCAAACTAATTATCTTTCTATCAGTTAACAACAGACTAGTCCAGTACTTTTATTTTAATCAACAATGACAATCACTTAGGGAAGAAATTTAAACTGAGCTGGATAGACAATCTAGTTTCAAACTTTCTTGGCCCTGGAAGATTGTGAACACTGAAATAAACCAATTTTGTTCCCAGAAAGAGGATGGGGGAACCTGCAGCTCTCTAAATGTTGCTGGACTAAACCTCCCATCATCAGTGGCCCATGCGGACTAGAGCTGGAGTCCTTCATCATCTGGAGAACCAAAGGATCCGTCACCCCCACCATAGAGCAAGATATGACAGAGTGGCAGCACATTAATAAAAGTGCCTATTTTTTGGGGGGGGGGGGATTCAATACAATGTGCAAAAAGAGGAGGCCTGGTCCATGATCTGTGCCTGTAT